TGAAATACCATGAATAAGCGTAGGATGATAAAAGGAGCAAGTCGGTTGTGGTGTGCCGAAACCGACGATGAGGTAGGCCTGAGAAAGAAGAGGGCCCGCCCAGGAAAAGAAATAGAAAGGAAATAAATGTTAAAAAGTGGTGTGGTGGGAGGGTCATTCAACGCTGACCTCGAACGGTAAGGAGCAAGGTAAGGGGAGTGCCTTAAGTAGGCTAGGGGTAGTAAACCAGCACCTCCCACAAATCCAGGCAAATTGCCTTAATACTTGTGTTAGGTGCTTAAGATAGTACAGTATGAAATACCATGAATAAGCGTGGATAATAAAGGAGCAAGTCGGTTGTGGTGTGCCGAAACCGACGATGAGGTAGGCCTGAGAAAGAAGAGGGCAAAAATTAAGTAATCAAATTTATTTAACAGACAACCAATACATATACATTTTATCAACCAGACATGTTTATGAAAGCATCCCTTAATTCTTGTACTGGGTTCGGTATGTACCGTGAGTAAGCGGATGACTTCCAGCGCCCCAGTGTTTTGAAAACATGAGTTGGGATGTTGACACTGGAGGCTGTGGACGTGGCTCCTATACTAAAGGAGTATCCTGAGTATTTGTGTGCGTTGAGGCCCAGTTGTGTGAGCAAGGACCTGACGTAGGTCATGAAGGTTGTAGTGGTGAGTACTGCACCTTGCAGTTGTAATAACGGTTGCAAGGGCAGTAAGTGATGGTGCTGTATGTAGGCATATATATGTATATATGTGTGTGTATATATATGTATATGTGTGTGTATATATATATGTATATATGTGTGTGTATATATATAATATATATATATATGTGTGTGTGTGTATACATGGAAAACAGAGAATGGAGTCAGCGTTAATATATCAAAAAGAGATACAAGGGGCAGCAATCCCAAACAAGGACTCCCTCAAGTGACCTTGGAATAAATACAGAAAGCAAACAAATAGAAGGATGGGACTGCGCCAATAGACAAAAATTAAAAAGAAAAAGTCCTAATTGGAGTATGGAAATAAAGTCCAATGTAATAAAACTTGGTATTATGTTCGTCTCTGTAGTTGTGGAATTTTGCTCCTTCCTGGTATGTGGAGGAGGGTGATGGATGATGAGATGGTAGAGAATGATCCAAAGGGTATCCAAATAAAAAAGAAGAGATAATACTCACTTTTAGTAGAGCTTAATCCAGCTCTGGTATGGATAGCTTGCAGCGGTATTATCCCCGCTTGTAGGATATACAGTGAGCTTCCTCTTCAGTGTGATGACAGGCAACCAGGGGGAAGATAAAACGAAAAAGCAGTGATAGTGCAATATGTCCCAAAAAGTAGATAAAAAGGTATAAAAATATAATAGATACACTCACATTTAATAGAGCTTATACTAGCTCTAGTATAGTAGGCATGCAACGGTATGATCCCCGTCTCTGGGATATGCGGTGAGCGGTGACCTGGTTGCCGCCACACACGCTTGACACCATCGGAGCCAAATAATTTTATACTGGTCTCATCGTACAACAGGACATGGTTCCAGTAATTCATGTCCTTAATCTGCTTGTCTTCTGCAAACTGTTTGCGGGCTTTCTTGTGCATCATCTTTAGAAGATGCTACCTTCTGGGACAACAGCCATACAGACCAATTTGATGCAGTGTGCGACGTGTGGTCTGGGCACTGACAGGCTGACTCCCCACCCCTTCAACCTCTGCAGCAATGCTGGCAGAACTCATACATCTATTTCCCAAAGACAACCTCTGGATATGACGCTGAGCACGTGCACTCATCTTCTTTATTAGACCATTGCAAAGTCTGTTCTGAGTGGAATCAGCCCTGTGAAACCGCTGTATGGTCTTGCCCACCGTGCTGCAGCTCAGTTTCAGAGTCTTGGTAATCTTCTTATAGCCTAGGCCATGTTTATGTAGAACAACAATTCTTTTTTTTCAGATCCACAGAGAGTTCTTTGCCATGCGGTGCCATGTTGAACTTCCAGTGACCAGTATGAGTGTTAAAGCAATAAAACCAAATTGAACACACCTGCTCCCCATTCACACCTGAGACCTTGTAACACTAACGAGTAACATGACACCGGGGAGGGAAAATGGCTAATTTTATTATCATCATCACTGCATAAACTGGAGGTAATCTGAGTTATTCAGGAGGATAAATAAAAAGTTGATTGGTTTGATTTAAATTATTCTCCTCATTGGAATGGCAGACTTCGTTGAGTGTAATAGTTGCAATGCATTTGTTTCACGTTCCACTTTTTGGAGGTTTGGTTGTTGTCTAATCTGTAGACCGTTCTCTATCTTGCGGCAGAAGATTGTATTTTTGAAGTCTGAGATTTGTAAATTATCTGGTGAACAAACTCAGACTGGAACTTCAGCAAAGCCACTGCCGCAGAGACATACTAGGAATGGCAGATGGATTACTGTAGGATCTGGTAGACTTAGAGTTGTGGATAAAAGACATTTTGCACAGTCTGTTGCTCTTCATAATTCATTGTCTGCACTTTCAGAGTGTAATGGTGTTGTGGAGAGAGGCACTGAGGCTAGTGGTGTTGTGGAGACCGTCTTGGAGACTATGGTGAGGCCTAATAGAAAGCAGTTGTTGGTGGGGAATTCCATTATAAGAGGTGTGGAGATGGAAAATGGTGGTCTTGTGAGGTGTCTTCCCGGAGCTACTGCTCATAGAGACAGGAGACGTATCTGTAATATTGATAAGCAAGCAAAACAGGAAGGGGAATTGGATGTACTTGTCCATCTAGGGACAAATGACTTTCAGAGGTTAAGGAAGTTTTTAGTGTTTTTGCCAATGATATACGGCAGGTTGTTTCCACACTGTCATTCTCTGAAGTTCTGCCTGTGCATAATACTCAGAACGACAGGCGGATGCGTATAAGGGACTTTAATTTGTGGCTTGGTGAATGGTGTCGGGAGCAAGGATTTGGCTTTATTTCTCATGGTAGCTCTGTTTGGAATGGAAATAAGCTGTACATAAGATGGTTTGCATCTTTCTCAAAAGGGAACAAATGTTCTCAGTGAGCAGTTCAGAGGTTTTGCTAGGATGTATTTAAACTAGGAGGGAGGGGCAAAAGGGTGATAAAACATCAATCCAATTGTCCCCCAAAACAAGGACAGAAGGTGCCTGTAGCAAGTGTGTTAAAAAATGATAAGCTTAGAGTCATGTCTACAAATGCTCACAGTTTAGGGAATAAGATCCATGAACTTGTGGCAATAATGGCAACTGATAGTGTAGATTTAGTCGCTGTTACTGAGACATGGTATAATGAGAAAAATGACTGGGACATAGCAATACCAGGGTACTCTTTATATAGAAAATATAGGGAAGGCAAGAAAGGGGGAGGGGTGGCCTTGTATGTGAAGGATAGCATAACATCTAGCCTAATAAAAGTTAGTGAGGCGAACATAGAGTCCTTTTGAGTTACGTTAGAATTTGGTAATCACACAGTAACTCGTGTAGTTGTGATTTATAGGCCCCCAGGACAAATTGAAGAGTTAGATAATATACTAGTTGAGGAAATAGCTAAAATGACAATGAAGGGGGAAGTTATCATCATAGGTGACTTTAATCTCCCTGATGTAAATTGGAAAACAAAATTAGCTACTTGTGCCAGGAGTACACATATTCTAAACTCCCTACTGGGATTGTCTCTAAAACAAGTTGTTGAGGAGCCAACTCGTAAAGAGGCCATACTAGATTTAGTGTTAACAAATGGAGATTTGGTATCAGATATTACTGTAGGTGAAAAGTAATTTAGGATCCAGTGATCATCAGTCAGTGTGGTTTAATATAAGAACAGTGACTGAGTCACACCACACAAAAACAAAAGTTTTGGACTTTAGAAAAACAGACTTTTCTAAAATTAGAATATGTGTAGATGAGTCATTATCAGACTGGAGCAATTTAAATGGAGTCCAAGAGAAATGGGAATATTTAAAAGTTTCACTATTGAAGGCAACAGAAAATTGCATTAGGCATGTCAGTAAAAGCAAAAAAATCAAGAAACCACTGTGGTACTCCACAGATGTGGCCAAAAGAGTTAAAAACAAAAAGTTAGCATTTAGTAATTATAAAAAGACCCAGAGTGAGGAAGACAAAATGATCTATAAGATTAGGCAGAAAGAGGCTAAGCAAGAACACCGCTGAAACCTCCACAAGCCCAGAACGAGGGGGATTCAGGCAAGCCCTCCCTAGCCTCTATAGCTAGAGGTTTTCGTGCCATTCATTCCCTGACTCCAGGGCCCATTTACATGGAACCGCATTCGGCTGTTTCACTCAGTGCGGTCGGTCATTTTATTCCCTCCATAAATTTCCCAAACCCCTGGTCTGATCTCTGTGATTTTTGGATATGTTGTTCACCCAGATCAGGGCTACCAGGGGATGTATGATTTAAGGGGGTACCCCTACTTTTAGGGGTACATCAGAAACGGGGGGAATTGCTGTACTGGATAAGGGGATTATGATGCAGGCTGAGGGGAGGAGATGTGTGGGAGGTTACCAGGACAGGATTGGCTACTATATTAATGAATGTAATCCCTCCCTTGCATGGGAGCATGCTTTAAAAGACCAGTGTGGTCTAAAGCTTTCAGTTCTGCTCCTGAAACTGTGTGTTGTCCAGTTATTGGGATTGCTGTGGGGATACTGTTATTTTGCCAGCTGGAAACCTTGCCTGTGGATTTACAATTTACTTGTTCCTGAGCCTCACTTGGATTATAAGCGGAGATAACCTGGGGAATATTGCATCTCCGCTACAATAGGGATCTCAGGATTTTGATGTGTACTAATAGTGCCCACTCTTTTGGTGACATGCAATATGCACTTTTCATTACAATCATTACCTCATTCTAATATTTCCCCATTAGCCCAGTCAATATGAGGGTTATGCTTCCTTATGTAAGGCACCAATGGAAATATTAATGTGTAAGGTTTCATGCGTTATCAATGGTTGTGAAAGTGGTCTTACATCAATAGCTTCAACTGCTAGGGGTGATAGTCTCTCTTTGATAGGTATAGTATTACCCTTGACAAATTGAACGTCGATGAAGTTTCCAGCAGCACCTGAATCCATCAGGGCTTTGCATGAAAAGTTATTTTTGTCAAAGGTGATATAAATGTCAAGGAGAAACATATTTTTATTCTTTTCAGAGCACGTTTCCATTACACCTAAGACCTGTCCCCTTAAGGTGCTTAGGTGCGGTAGTTTTCCGGACGTATGGGACAATTGTTTTTCATATGTACCTTCCTACCGCAGTATAGACATAGGCCTTCTTTTCTCCTATATTGTCTTTCTGCTTCCGACACTCTAGTGACCCCCAACTGTATGGGTTTGGGTTCGGACTGTACTGGAATTTTAGTGACAATAGGTCTGAAGAAACGGGGTGCTAAAAGCATACTCATGCGTCTGGTCTTGTTTCTAGTAGCTTCTCTGGTTCTCAGTCTATTATCAATCTGCATGACAAAAGTGATAAATTCATTAAGCTTTTCGGGTAAGTCTTTGGCGGCAATCTCATCTAGCATAGTTTCAGATAATCCCTTTTTAAATGCAGAGATTAACCCAATATTAGTCCAGTCTACCTTGAAAGCTAGGGTACAAAATTCTATGGCATATTCCGATAGACCGGTTCCCTTGTCTGATATGCATCAGGGCAGTAGAGGCGTCATCCTCTCTGCCTAAAGGTTCAAACGTAAGTTTAAATTCCGTAAGGAACTCCTGGTAATTGTGTGCCACACTCCTATTACTCTCCCATAATGGATTGGCCCAATCTAAAGCCTTACCTTTTAACTGATTTATTAGGTAACCGATTTTAGCTCGGTCTTTCCATTTTGAAATTAACCACTGCCCTAGTGGGTTGGTAAGAACCCTTGTAGTTGTTCATTAATATTCGATGGTAATGTGTTCATGTGAAGTAAAGTAAAATCTAGACACCATCAACCCCATGCAGTAATTATCACTAGTTTATGACACAATATGATGTTTAGTTTTGCCTGGGACTGGAATCTGAAGACTGTGAGTCCATGACTCAATGATTTATCTGTGTGCTTGATAGCTGTGATTTTAGGATGATCTCTCCTTGAATTTTGTCTTTGCCATTCCATTACAAAGCTTGCGGTTTGAAGTTTTAATGACACCTTCAAATTACACAAATTCCCGCTTCTTGGTGTTACCCTCATTCTTAGCTGACAAAAATACATACAGAAATTCCCATATTTTTTTGTTGTTGTCCTCTACAGTAGAGGACAACAACAAAAAAATATGGGAATTATTAATTGCTGGGAACCCTCAATTGATCAGTCTTTCTCTCCTCTCTTATCTGTTCCCTAAGCGCTTTCACGTCTGCCTCCAATCTCTGTCTGTCTCTTCAGATTCCAGTATTCTCTATTCCCTTCCTTATTCCTCCAATCATCCCAATTCCATCTATTGGTCTGATGCTCATCCCATGTATGGTTCCTGTTGTTTCTCCGTTTTTCTCGCCAACTGTGATTTTCCCAGTTATCTCTCTTTTTTAGCCTCTCCCAGTTATTAGTATTATTTCAATTATTATTTATTACCTTAGGCTCCTCCCATCTATTTCTCCAATTATCTCCCATTACATTGCTTCATTTAGCACTGTCCCTATTCCTATGAGTTATCTTGCTGCAATTCGAGTGCCATGCTTGCTAAACCCCCTATTGCAGCAACAACTGCTTTTGCCACCAAGCTTTTCCTTTTCTTAATATGGCACTTTTTGTTAGTAACACTCTGTGTCAAAACATCCATGAAAACTTCATATTTTCCACAATCGGGGCCTGCTGGTTCTGGAAGCTCATGGTCCATCATGTTTGTCAATGTCATTCTTTAAGTACTCTAGTACTTCTGCAGAAAAATACTCTGTGGATCTCTCCATCTTTTGTCAAAGTCCTGTTTTGATCTCCAGTTCTCATTATCCCTCTTGTTCTGGGGTACATCCCACCTCTGATTTCTCCATTTACCATCCATATCTCTACCAGAGTCAACCTTTAATGTTCTTATGGCTGAAACAGAGAAGGTCAGTTCTGAGGAAGGATGCTTGATCCACCAATTGTCAGCTCTAGTTAGTACCATTTCTAAGTCTGCTGGTATTAGATCAAGAAGCCTGACAAATTCTTGACACTCCCAGGGAAGGGCTTCCATTACTTTAGTTATGTGTTATGGTGAACCCAACATCATAGGGTGCTGTGGCTGGCGCAATGTAAACCAGAACAATAAAAACAATAAGAACAATAACAATTGTGGTAATTTTTCTTCTTTTAACCCCTTAAGACCGGAGGGCATACAATTACGTCCTATTTTAAGCAGCTCTAAACACCGCCGGGCGTAATTGTACGCCCTCTGGTGTTTGTTTACTTACCCGGTCGCCGGCGGTCCCACGCCGGCGATCGCAGTGGGGGGGACTCCCAGGGAGCCCCACCGCGGCAGATCCTCCTCCTCCGGTGCTCCCCGGCCATGTGAGAGTGAGGTCCTTGCGAGGACCTTACAATCACATGGCCGGGATAGCTGCCTCCTGCATTGCCAGCAGGGGGGCTGCCTGTAATTACAGGTGGTCCCCCTGCTGGCTAGAAATAAAATTAAAACAATTTATAAGTGTAAAAAAAATAAAAAATTATACTTAGATCATATATATATAGTGTGTGTGTGTGTGTGTGTGTTTGTGTATATATATATATATATATATATATATAATATATATATGATCTAAGTATATATACACACACACACATACACTGTCTAGGTGTATTTTACTATTAATATATATATTATATATTAATATCAAATTACACGTAGACCGATACTGATTAAATATATATAAAATTATTGTTATATATATATTTATATATAATATAAAAAAATGTAATATGTAAATACATAAAAAAATTTTTTTTTAAATAATTAAAAATTATATAGATGTGTTATTTTGTTCTAACTGTATTGTGATATTAACATATATATATATATTTATATCAAAATACACATAGAACGAAATAATATATATATCTACATACATAAATATATACGTATATATCACTATATATATATATACCTATATATAAATAAAATATTTAAAAAAAATTATATATATATATATATACACATATAGATTCACATACATATATATATATATATATATACACATATATTAATTCTACATATATATTTATGTAATATTTTTACATAATTAGGTATCTTAATTAATTACAATTAGTGGGACCTGTCTGACAACCCTATAACTTTCCAAGACACCATAAAACCTGTACATGGGGGGTACTGTTCTACTCGGGAGACTTCGCTGAACACAAATATTAGTGTTTCAAAACAGTAAAATGTATTACAACAATATTGCCAGTAAAAGTGAAGTTTTTTGCATTTTTCATGCACAAACAGCACTTACAAGGACAATATTATTGCTGTGATACTTTTTGCTGTTTTGAAACACAAATATTTGTGTTCTGTGAAGTCTCCCGAGTACAACAGTACCCCTCATGTACAGGTTTTATGGTGTTTTCAAAAGTTACAGCGTCAAATATAAGGCTTGCGTTACATTTTTTTCACATTAAAATTCGCCAGATTGGTTATGGTGCCTTTGAGACCCTATGGTAGCCCAAGAATGAAAATTACCCCTATGATGGCATACCATTTGCAATAGTAGACAACCCAAGGTATTGCAAACGGGGTATATCCAGTCTTTTTTATTAGCCACTTAGTCACAAACACTGGCCAAAATTGGCGTTTTTTGCATTTTTCACACAAACATATACTAACGCTAACTTTGGCCAGTGTTTGTGACCAAATAGCTACTAAAAAAGACTGGACATACCCCATTTGCAATACCTTGGGTTGTCTACTATTGCAAATGGTATGCCATTATGGGTGTAAATTTCATTCCTGGGCTACTATAAAGTCCCAAAGGCAACGTAACCAATCTGGCGAATTTCAATTTCAAATGTAACGTGCCATATTTGACCCTGTAACTTCCCAAAACGCCATAAAACCTGTACATAAGGGGTTCTGTTTTACACGTGAGACTTTGCTGAATACAAATATGTGTATTTTATTGCAGTAAAAGCAAACAGTATTATGACATTGACCGTTAAAATGTCATGTAGAAGTAAAAAAATGAAAAAAAAATCTTATTTTCTCCAATTTATTTCACATTAAATTATGTTTCATAGCTAAATATTTGATATTAAATGAAATCCCTGTTTCCCCTAAATAAAATTATATATAATAAGGGTGGTTGCATTTAATATGAAAGAGGTGAATTACGGTTGGACAGACATGTAGCGTAAATGCCAGGTTTTGTTTACATTTTGTTTCATTCACAACGTGTACATTTGGCTCAGTCTTTAAGGGGTTAAATATGGTCTCCTCCTTTATTGTATTGATTCCCTTTATGTATTTAAATGTTTCTATCATATCCCTCCTGTCTCGTCTTTCCTCCAAGCTATACTGATTTGGATCAAACCAACTGTTTCATTATTTGTCTATCTATTCCTCTCCAAATTGATTGTGCACATGCTTTCTAGTAGTAAATCACACTGGACAAATTGCAGGTTTATGAAAGACTTCAGAATGGCCTTTATTCCAAGGGGTGCGATTCCCTTTTAAAGCAGAAATACGTCATGTACAGAATCACAGTTAACATAAAGTATACATTCATCAACTGGTTAACATTCTAAGGGGTCTTGTCTAAACCCACCCTACAGGATGTAAAGCCATCATTACAGAGCTCTCCCACCCACATTCCAGCTCCATCTTGGTTACTGAACAAAGAGTGGGCTGAAGGG